GTACACTACTATTGAACTCTCGAGCGCCGGCATCGGGTGGAACTGCCTGCTTACTCCAATGCATTAGAACTATTCTGGGTTTGTCGTTCAGCCGGCCGATTTTGCAGGACGTTGGGTTCCAGACCTTTTGGCGCGGCGACGGCTTGTCTGGGACGGATCGGAATCAGCTTCCCTGAACGTGAATTGACCAACTTTTGTATTTTGTCCCGAATGAAACCAGGGACGGATGCTATGTGATACATGAGAAAATTACGCCCTGGGCTTTTTTGTCTTCCCCAATTGTGTTCCATATCCGAGCCTCAACGCCGTGGGCACTTCGGGGGGGAGGCTCATCATCATCGCTGCCCCCCCTTCGACATCGCCATGCAGAGAGACACTGTTTCTTCTATAGCTTGAAGGTGCTACTCGTCGACTTGACCTCCGCCTTGGCCTTGTTGCCATCAACGTCGACAACCTCGCCCTTGCGGTTGATGACCTTGACGCCGCCCTTCTTGAGGTCCGCCATCGTGTCCCGCTGCATCTGCGCCTTCTTGCCGAGCGGCTTCTTGTCCGTGCCGCCCGCCTTGCGGATGCGCTCCTTCTCGCGCCTGCGCCGCCGCAGCTTGTCCTCGCGCGACATCTCCTGCCTGGCGATCGGCAACCCGCTCTTGGCCACCACCTCGCCCTTCTCCGCCGTCTCCTTGCCGGCCTTGTACACCTCCTGCGGCGCGATCATGCTCTGCCCGCCGCTGACGCCCTGCGCCGTGGTCGGCTGCGCGTCCTCCATCGCGATCGTCGCGGCGTCCGACACCACTGTGAGCGACGGCGCCGCCGGCTTGGGCTTGTAGTGCCAGCTGCTGAGCGAGTCGAGCTTGGCGCTGAGGTCCTTCCACATCTTCTCGACCTCCTGCTCCTCCTTCTTCATCTTCTCGTCTGACTTACTAACGTAGTTGTCCGGGTCGGCGTTTTTAATGTGCTCCTCCTCGTAGATCTCCGCAAGACCCTTGCCCGATTTGCTATCGTCGAGCTCGATGAGTCCGCGACGTGTGTTCTGGGGCAGGTCGGCGTCGGGCCGGCGGCGGAGGACCTCGTCAAATTCCTGCGCCAGGATCCTCCTCTTGATCAGGTCCTCGATGCCCTCGCTGACCTCGGCCGTGATGACGGGCACGGGCTTGCCCAGGTGCTCGAAGGACAGGTCCTCCTCCAGAAGAGAGTTCACGGGACGCTCAGCGGCAGAGGCCTCGCCCGTTAATGTCCACTGGCGCTTGGCAATGGACTCGGCCTCGAGTTTGCGGATCTCCTCGGCGAGCTTCGCTTGGCGTCTCTCGTGAGCGGACCTACGCGACCTTGGGTCGCCGGCGGAGACGTCTGACAGGGCGTCGTCCGAGTCGTCTCCGTGGTCCGACTCGTCTTCGAAGAGGTCCCTTCTGACGTCCTCCATGGCACGCTCGACATCCTCCTCGGCGACTGGCTCGGGCGCGAAGCGAACAGACCTCTTCTTCTTGTACTTGCCGTCCTTTTTCCTTGCCGGTGGCGCGAAGAAGTCCTTGAAGTAGATGCCATTTGCGTTGAACTCCTGATCGTCCTCCATGGCGTCATCCATGTCCTCGTCATCGCTTGCACCTTCGGGGGCGTTGAGGTCCATGTCACCAAACGTCGGACCGTCCTCTTCGTCCTCATCCTCGTCGGAGCCGGCGTCCTCCTCCATATCATCGCCCTTACGTTTTGACGAGCCCGCCTTGCTTGATGGCGCAAGCGGGTCCGCGTTCCAGTCGATATCTTCGTCGTCGCTGTTGGCGTCCGTGTTGGGGTCTCCTCTAGCGTCTTGCTCCTCGAACCACTGGGTCTGCTTGTTGAAGTCGTCAATGGAGAAGAATCCGTCGTTGAGACCGTGAGGGTCTTCGACGAACTCCTCTGCATCATCGTCGTCGTCGTCCTCCTCCTCCTCCTCCTCCTCCTCGTCATCTTCTCCAGCCTCGTCTTCGTCCATATCTTCGAGATCTCCAGTAAGCCCCTCGACATCGGAACCCTCGGCCTCCTCTTCGTCGGATTCTTGCTCCACGCCATCGAGGTCGGAATCCGACACCTCGTCACTAGAGCCCTCCTCAAGCTCGGAGTCCTTGTCAGAATCGACAGATGTCTCCTCGCCGTCGACCCCGTTTATAGCAATCTCGTTTCGCTCCTCGAGCTCCTTCAGGGTCTCCTTGGAGTGGTTCAGAGCGCTTTGGATAATGCGGCGGGCCTGCTGCCAGACCTGGCCCGTTTCAAACCCATCGACATGAACCTTCCGGATCTTGAGAACGTCGACCTTTGCTCCCCCGTCGGCTCGCTTGCGCTTCCTCGTCGCTTCCTTCAGCAGGCGCAGCTGCTCGTCGCTGATTTGTCCGGCAAAAGCATCCAGCGTGTCCTTGACGACCTGCAGCGAGGCGGAGGGGATCGCGGACGGCGGTTGGAGAAAGGCGTGACGTTTTTCGGCGCCCAAGTTGTCGTAGAGGGCTCGCACGTCGGCGACGCCGCCGGAGGGGAGCTGGGCGGCCATACCGGGCGCGAAGGTGAGCGTGTTGGTTGTCGACGTCAGGGAGGAAGACGTGCTGCTGCCCACCGCCATGATATTTTTTTTCGTTGGGATGAGGATATGCGTGTTTCGGCCGTGCAAGATTTCACTTTTTATTTTTATTTCTTTTTAGTCGGCGCCGTCCGTAAGAAGCAGCAAAAAATTTAGGACCCCGCAAAACGGCTCAGAGTGGGTGGGTCAGTTTTGATTGGTCAATAAGACTGGTGCTGCCAGTCCAGAAACATTAGCTAATCACCCTGTCGTCCATGTCTCTCGCTTTTGTTTGAATCTTGTAAAGGTTGGGGGCTCTGTTAATGGCTGATTCTAAAGTGCTTTTGGACCAGTCTTATTCCTTATTCAAGAAGTAGCCATTCATTTGACAATTAGGTTTGGGTTCAGCTGAGTATTGCAGCCCTCCGATTCACTGGAATCCCTGGTGTTCCGAGACGATAATCGTCGCACATGACTAGACTATATGCACATGTACTCTGGCAGACGCTTATAATTGAAGTTTGCCATTCAAAAAGTACTCTCCGTCGGTAAGCAACCGGGAACATGTTAATATTGATTCTTTGATATGAGTTCCTCAAGGGCCTGGCTCGGTGGCGGGGCCGGATCAGCAGCACCTTCGAAAGATGATTACTAAGAGTATCCTGTGCATATACACATCGACTTGACTCAACTTACATCGCAACTTCGTTGTAACACCGCTTACCAAAACGAGCAACTTGATACCATACATACTTACGCAAAGTACCACGTTATCAAGAACACCGTCGCATAAGAGGTCTTTGGCTGAAAACCAATTGTGAGTCGCCTTTTATTATGCGGAGTGAGTTTAAATAAGTTTGCGCTTTACTGGCGATGAGTTCTCACCATACCTGAACCTTTGGATCCCTTCTACCTGGCGTCCCCTTAGTATGATTTACTTGCATCAGAATATCTCACACCAATAAACCGAGTACTTGACAACCCACTCAGCGTAGCACCTGCGCAAATGCCTCACAAGCTAAATGCCTGACCACAGCAGCCAACCGAACCCCGATGTCTCACGTCGGGACCTCCAACGACCCTGCGGCTTCCGTGGCGGCCTCCCGGTCAGATGGAAAGACCCATCTTCTGCTAGCCTGCAGTGGCTCCGTCGCAACCATCAAACTGCCCAACATCATCCAGGCCCTCGGACACCACAAGAACCTGTCGATACGGGTCATCCTCACGGCCTCCGCGGCTGAGTTCCTGAACGGCTCGACGGCCGAACAACCCTCCCTCGCCGCCATCCGAGCGCTGCCCAACGTCGAAGCCCTGCACCTTGATGCGGACGAGTGGGTGCAGCCGTGGCGCCGCGGGGCGTCCATCCTGCACATCGAGCTGCGGCGGTGTAAGTGGCCGCTATTCGCTGCTGTCGAGGAGAGCTTGTCCTCATTCCGTTCGTGAAAAAGCTAATGTCAGTCCAGGGGCGGATCTGATGCTTGTCGCGCCTTTATCAGCAAACACACTGGCCAAGATTGTCAACGGTTTCTCGGACAACCTCCTAGTAAGTCGACATGCCCGCTCCCCTCGCAGCCTACACTCTCTGCTGATGCGTCCCCCAGACTAGCGTCATCCGCGCATGGGACCCCGATGGGCTCATCGATGGAAGACGGAAGAAGATTATGGTGGCCACCGCCATGAACTCGGCCATGTACATGCACCCAATCACCGCGAAACAGATTAAGGTCCTGGAGGAAGACTGGCCGTGGTTCGAGGTCCTGAGGCCGATAGAGAAGACGCTCGCTTGCGGCGACACCGGGAACGGGGCAATGATGTCTTGGGAGGAGATCGTCAAGATTACGGAAGAGAGGTTAGGACTTGGGGCTGGAGTTCAGTAACGGCGATTAAGAAGAGGCCGCGTCAATGAGGCAAGAGCGAATGGGCAACCGAGGTGCGCTGATGCGGATTGGCAAAGACTCACAACCACCAACATAGGCTGCTCTGATGCGATCTTCGTTGGCTAGTGGTATTCGTCTAGAACTATCCTGAACTAGCCCAGGCAAGATGCTTTACTATTGACTCAACTCATTCCCACATCGCAGCCTTGTCCGTTTTTTGCCCTCGAGCTTATGCCACAAAGGGGAAGCGGAAACGACCACTTCACTGGCATGGGAGGAAAACACAAAGCCCATGCTATCTAAGCCTTGCAGATTGGTTGAAATCGACAACGCTACAAAGATGTCACAAGGAATCACTGGATAATAAAAAAGAACGGTTAACGGATGCAATGTCATTTGTGCATGATTTGTGGCTATCGTAGTGTACAGTTAATTCCGGCCAGGCTTGATACCTTGCGATGTAGAAAACATGCGCGCTAATCATCGTTAGACCCCTCCTTCTGTTATGCATATCCTCAAGACCTTACCCCAATTCCTTGATGCAGATGCTAGGCTTCCGGTCACCTGATAATGCTATGACAACGAACAAAAAATTACCGAAAAAGAAACCCCGTTCGATTGGCCCCTTTCCCCAGTCATCATACTTTTGAATCCTCCCCTCGTGGGACATCTTACGAGTTTCTGTTTCGCCTCGCGCGCCGGGCCTAATTGTTTAACACAAATGAAAAAAAAGGGGGCACTGGTTGCCCCATCCAACCAGAAACGAAGTTTGGTATATATACGAGCTCGCATATGTTTGCGGATCAGGTGTCGTGTCTGAATGTGCATTTGTCACCTCTAGCGCATTTGCCTTGCTGCCAGAAACTGCAAGGCTTAGTTCCGATGAGGGCGCGGTTAACTGGGCGATGAGGAGGAAGAGTAGCACCACCGGGAGCGTTGCCCTTGCGATTCTTGCCCTGCTTGCCACCTTTGCCCTCGCGTTCACGGCCGCGTTCTCTATCACGCTCACGTCCACCTTGTTGGTCGGAGTCGTCTCGAGTGTCCCAGTCGCTGTAATCAACCAATTGCCGCTGCGGAAGCTTGAATGAGGATTGGTCATGATTAGGAGGAGACTGTTCACCAACTGGCGGGGGCGGGGGCGGGGCAGCTTGTTGGTGCTGCTGTTGTGGCTGTTGTTGTTGTTGCTGTTGAAGTTGAGCGAGCATCATCAACTGTTGGTAGCTGGTATCTTGTGGGTTGAGCCCGTATACATTGCCTTGGGATGCCGGCTGTTGACTCATTTGAGCAAGGATGGCCTGAAGTTGAGCATCGCCTGCTATGACAGGTGCTGGGGTAGGTTGGGTCGGCTGCTGCGGTAGGCCACTCTGAAGCATGGCCATATATTGGGCATAGTGCTGCTCCTGTTGTTTGTAGTATGCAGCCCAAGCGTCTTTCTGTTCTTGCGTCATCGCTTCTGGCTGCTGCTGTTGCTGTTCCTGAACCCCAACCTCAGTCTCTGCGCGAGCCTTATCATCCGCCTCCTTCTTCGCTCTCGATGCCGAGTCTTTCTGGTATCCAGCCCACCACTCCCTTACTCTCTCTTGATTGTTGGCAAGCCATGCGGGCGGGCTCGTTGCGGGATATGGAAGTCCTCTTAACGACTCTGCTACCTCCTCTACATTGTCGGCGGCCGTTTGTATTGTCGGGTCGGAGAAATCATGTCGTCGATGGGTTTGTGGTGCTGTCGGATTGAAGGGATTGAGATCCAGCCAGTTCTTTACTTTGTCCGAGATGAGGGTTTCGTAGACCTTGTCATCGAACGGAATAACCGGAACAGGCTGCATCTCAGCAGCATTAGGCAGGATAGGTTGCGCGTTTTCCTTGGGTGGGGTCATATTGTATGGCTCAGGCTCGACTGCTGGAGCGATTGGCTTGAGGTTGCCCAAGATCGAGTTGAGTTTCGTGGCGGGATCATTCTGAGCATCCAGGCGTTTGCGCGCATAGTATGCTGCTGCCTCCCAGCCGAACTGTTGTGCCTCCTTCCACCGTTTATGGATCTCGTCGTACTTTGGTTCTCCTTGAGGCAACTGGGAGATTTTGCCGTCAGAGGTGATCGTTACCGACTCGGGCGGCGGAGATTTAGGTGTTGGCGGGATGTCCGAGATATCCATGTATGTAACCATGAGCTCCTTCTTCTCTCTTTCTTCGGTGACCTTCTGTTCCTCCGTATGGAAATTCAGGTTACCTCCACGAGTAACGAAAGACTTATCGCGGTAGTCCTGAGGAATCGCGGACAGATCCGCAAGGGACGGCTTGACCCAGGGTCTGTATGGCAGGTCATCGTCATCGTCCTCATCGTCATTGTAGGACCGCTGCTTGAGCATCATTCCCTCAGATCGATCATCTGCAGCATCTTTGGTCATGTTGTCTTGGTCTTCAGCGGCTTCCTTATGGAAGATGCGAACCTGCACCAGCTCCGACTCGGGTTTCCAGCTGACGCGAAGCTTGCGGCGAGCTTCTTTTCGGAGTCGTTTTTCCTTCTCTTCAGGAGTCTCTGAGATTTCCTTCTTGCCAGAGTCCTTCGCTTGCGTAGAGGGACCGTCAGCTTTAGGCGTATTGATGGAGTCAAGGAGCGAGGCGATGCTGGAAGAGGCTAGGCTTGAACTTGCAACGGCCTTGGTGGCAGGCACTTTCGGCTCAGCCTTTGGCGCGGATGGCGCTGGTTTCTTGTCAACGTCCATTGCGGACGAAGTTGATCCCTCAAACCTCGAAATCTCGGGTTTGACAGGATCTCTTGCGCTTGATTTGGGCGCAGGGGCTCGGATTTTACCTGCGAGAGAAGCCGAAGCTGTCGGGCGAGGCTTTGTAGCGCCAAACTTGGATTGAAGGGACCCGGCAGGTTTTGACCCCAGCTTGTTACCCAGACCGTTATTCGCTGATTCGGTGGCCACCTTCTTGACAGTGCGAGAGTCGCTGTCATCGTCGCGCGCTCTTTTTGCGGGGGAGCCATCAAGTGGCTTCGCAGCGGGCTTTGGTGTTTTGCTGATTGAGGCTGCCGACGGCGTCTTCTTGACTTCGGTGCCGTTGATCGGTTCCACATCCTTCTTGATTCGAGACGCGATCGTACGAACCAGTTCCTTGACCTCGTCGTCGCCCTTGTCTGCAAACCGCTTTCGGACATTTTCAAGGTTAACAGCCTCTGCAACTTTTTTGTGTACGCTGATGTTGGACATGAAGCGAAGAAGGGCCTTTGGCAAGGGCCCGCTGAAGTCGGCTGCCTTGATGCAGCCAATTAGCATGTTGACCAAACTCAGTATGCCCTTCTGGTGGCCACCAAAGTTCTCCAACACGGCCTCATCGCCGTGCTTGGCTGCCGCCTCGCAGACCCTAGTGAAGATCTCCCTCTTCAGATCCATCTTACTATTCCATTCATCAATAACCGATGCAGATTTCTTTTCTTTGTTGGCCTGGTCGACCTCCTGTTTCAGTCGGTTCACCTCCGACCTGAGCTTGACAAGGAATTCGCCTAGGCCCTGTACAGCAGTACCTAGAAGGGCAGTCGTTCTGGTGGCCGAAGGATCAATGTAGACAATGCCTAGTATATCCCATACGGCAGCTTCTACAGGATCAGCAGGCCGCGTCTCAGGACGGATGGGCCGTTTTCGCTCTTCCTCCTCTTCTTTACGGGCCTTCCTCTGGGCCTTGGACTTGGCTGCTTCGTCCGCCTTCAGTTGTTCCTGGAATGTGAAAGGGAATTCTGAGTATTTAGGCCGGCCAGATTTGAGGTCCCCCATCTCGCGTCCGTATTGCTCAATAAGATCCTTGGCCTCCGCCTCCCGATCCCCTGGCTGTCCAACAAAGTTCATGGATGGTCTATATTTGTCGGTGAACCTGCCTTGGATCTCGCAAGGAAGGTCTCGGCCGAGTTCAGGAAGAATGGGTCGTCCACTGGTTGATGGCAAAGCAACAAGGGGCGCAAGTCTATCGTAGCTTTTGGGCGCGGCTAGTTTGACGGTGCCCGAAGAAACGAGGAATGATGCACCGGGGATAGCCGGGAACTGTTTCTTGGATGCGGCGTTGCGTTTTCTAAACTTCTCCATGGCTGCGATCTCTTCTTCGGTACTCGAGGGTAAGACCAAAGTTTCGCCATCGTCATCTCTCTTTGGATTTGGAGAATCCGCTCGATCCACCTCTCCATCTTTCTTCGTTGCACGTTTACGCTTCTTCAAGGGTTCGGGCTGGAGAGTTGGCGTGCTAGGCTGAGAAGCAGGAGCCGCCGCAATGTGCTGTAGATGCGGCTGCTGCTGCTGCTGCTGCTGCTGTTGTTGTTGTTGCGGTTGAATAGGCCGAGCTGGTGAGGGAACCGCCTTGGCCTGATGGACAGGTTGCTGTTGAGGCAAAGGTTGAGGTGTACGCTGCAGTGTTGACTCTTGGTCTGGTACCTGTTTCGCAGCGACAGGCTGAAACGCAGGCCTCGCTGCAGTCTGGGTATATGTCATCTGTTGAGGAACGAACTTATGCTGCTGGTAGGGCGTGGCCTGGTTCTGCTGAAAGGGAGGCGGAGTCGGGTTGGAAAATCCCTGGTTGCTCTGTTGATGGGATTGTTGAGCCTGGAAGGGATGGGGCGACTGGGAGAAGACTCTCTCAGGCTGGGCCTGATGTTGTTGTGGTGATGGAACATAGCTCTGGGGCGCAGGCGAGTAGGATTGAGGAACCGATTCGAAACGCTGTTGTAGTTGTGCTGGTGCTTGATGGCCATGCTGAGGCATCAATTGAGAATCATTGTATTGGGGTACATTGCCATTAAACAGCTGGTTTGCCTGAGCGTTGTACTGGAATTGTTGCTGGGTAAAGTCAGGCGTGTGGCCGTGGTTCAAGTCGTCAATGCTGGCCGTGAAGTCTGCTTTCCCTGGCTGGCCATATATGTCCTGTGGGAAGTCGTTGAGACCAGCCAGCGCATCCTCTTGCGCGGCGTCAGTGTAAGGCGTATCCAATGAGAATTGGCTGTGACCGTTGTGGAAGTTGCCGTGGTTCAGAGCAGATATGCTGTTATGCTCGGTCGCCGCCACAGTGGCATGGGCTTGATGAGGCGAGGCGTAGAGATTGTTCTCAGCACTATTACCTCGGGCACCAAGATGAGAGAAGGCATTTTGATTGGGAAGTTGATGCTGCCAATTTTGAGACGCATCGAACTGGGCTGATCCATCAGGAAACCCATAAGAGCCCGACCACATGTTATTATGGCCCTGAGGAGAGCCTGCCTGGCCATTTGGCTGCCAGTTCTGCATGTTTATCGGCCTCCTCAATGGAAGGGAAAGCACGTGATGGATGCGGAAGTCAAAATATCGTCATGCGACCATTTGATGATGCTGAGCACTGCACAGCTGGCGCCGATTAGCATTTGTTCTTTAGAGAGCACCGAGTTCAATTGGTACGCAGACTAGCTTGCCTGTGCATCAAGGGATAAATAAATCAGACGAGAAGGAGCAAAAGCGCCACGATGATTGGTCCAAACAGGGATAGGAATGCAGCGCCTTAGAAAGGAAAAGCCTGAACGTGGTAGGGGTGGGGATAGAGGGACCAAGAAGTTAAGGGTCGGACGGGGGAGAACGTGATCCCGTAGGTACTTTCTCTAATAAAGTTGCGGTTGAGGAACCTGAAGTGACGGGAAAGAGAGTCCTGACGGCTAAATACCGGTCGGAGGCTCGCAGCTTACCTTGAGGTGGCAGCGAATGGCAGTGAGGGGGACTAAGCCTAATCCGGCAATCTGGCAAGGATTATGGTGTAGTGAATGCGCCAAAACGCAGTCAAACTCGATGGGAGTGACGCAGGTCGATGGTATGGTCTCTGTGTATGGTAGAACTGCGAGACTGGTCAGCACTCAGGATTCGAATTGGGATGGCAGTGACAGTGTTGGTGTGAGTTCGGCGTTGGGGACCGGTGATGCTTTTCTGTGAACCACTAGGCTCGGAATCCATGGTTGATCTGGTCGGAACAGCGCAAGAGGTGACAAATCCTGGAAACCAGCAAATAATCGGTTGAAGGAAAACCCAGCAGCTGGTGGCACTTAGAGACACCGAGGTGATGGCCACCTTCTCTATAATCGAAGATAACGAAGGGGCATTGGGTTGGGTGGTTGCGATTCGCTTTAAGACGCGCAGTTTGATGACGGACGGGATTGATTTCCTCGATGGACGACTGAAGTCGAAATGGAAGGCCAAAATCCTAGCGAGGTGGGTTTTGTACGAAGCAGCTTGAGCCGCCGCACACATCTGTCTCCCATCGCGATTATCTCCCATCCGACGGCGAGTTGTGAAGGCGAGTTGAGCTGTGTGGCGAAAGTGGCCTTCAGTTGATGGGTGGTTCCTTGTTTCCGACCGTCCGCTGTGGTGGAGGTCCAAGGCCCGAATAGCGCGATGCACACTCTGAAAAAAAGTGAAATGCACCAAAGACCCGCCCCCTGCACCCAATCCAGCGACGCAACTCGCGCGCAAAAGCTTCTTTGAGCGCCCCGTTGAAGTCGAAATCCCCCCACGAGAGATTGAGAGAATTGATGAATGTGAAGATGACGGGAGCGACGACCTGCAGCATCGGCAAGTTTCCGAAGAACAGCGTCGCCGGAATTGCCCGAGTTGCTTCTTGTTTCTCAAGTAACCCCTTTTTGTATAGGGTTCCAGCCGTTCCACCGCGCCGCGGACCAAGGCGTTCTGCTTTGCAGAACATTTTAAACAGGAGGGTTACTCGTGTGTCCTTGTCCACATTTCCATGCGCGTTGTGTCTGCGTCTGCCCCTGATCTGATTCGACTTTGCAAGTTCATCGCTGCAGAAGTCCAGTGCGGGTTGAGTTCGAACACCATGGGCTCATCATGATTTTCACTCAAACATTTCTCCATGTCTGCGTCCCCAGAAGAGGATGATGGCGAGTTGATCGGGATGGGAATGGGAATGTGCCGATCATAATGGCGGTGCTGGTGATGAGGGTTTGAGGGGGGATGGAGGGAGACAACGATTGGGGATGGAAGGGAAGGGGGGAAGCGTGAGTTTGTTTGGCTTGGGGGGAAAATGTATCATACCCTGCAGTTCTTGACTCTCTATCCAGCGCAAGTTATGATGCGTTCGGAGAAGAGCTGGCTTCGCGACCTTAACGTGGTCCGCGGGTTATTTTTGTTTGGATTGACGATGGTCGCGAAAATTACAACATGACGGTCGACTGCCCGGGAAGATGGGCGAGCGAAGATTGTCTACCAAAAGAAGGGGGCAAGATGGAATGATGGATCGCTGGGGATCTGGGAGGCGACGATCAAACAGGCAAGTTAGGTGCCTTCCGTCGCCTTCAATAGTTCCAGATAATGAGGAATCAGATATGTTCAGAATATCGTCGCCAGTGGCCTTCAGACGCGTCTTCCTGTCGATTAATTTCCGTACGTCGATGGTAACTTTGGTTGATGGTGAAGGAGGAAGAAGGCAGGTTGCTGTCGTGGCAGAGGAGGAAAAGCTGGTCATTGTTTCGCAGCGCGCGGCCTGTCCCAAGGGATGGCGGGTAGGTCACTTGTGGCCGCACATTTAAGGCAAGACATGCCTTGTGGGTCCGAGCTGGAAGGGGCCAACACTTTCCAGGACGGAAGGGGCCACGGGCCTGATTCGACTTAAGTTGTGACAGGGCGGGGCCTCGTGCCTTCCAGCCTGGACCTGAGCCACAGGCTTTTGCATATACCTACAGTAGGTATCCGTACTCAGTCAGGCAGGTGCCGCAGGCCATTGAGACACCCTTTGGCACAGGTCAGGTGTCGCCGCCTTCTCTTCCCAGGTAGAGCGGTTTCATGGTTCACCGCCCATCGGAACTCGGAGACTTAGTAATGCCGGCCCATGACATCGCTCCTTACCATGCAAGGGTTCCACTCCAGCACAAGCACAGGTCAGCGGAATCATCCAGGAAATGTGGCTCGACGGCACTTTTGAGGACACCAATGCTGGAGCTGTGTACGTACCTCCAACGTACCTCGACTTGTCGCAATCGCAAATCGTCGACCTCTATCTTCCAACGCAATCGTAAATAACACTCGATTAAAGGCGCAGCATATACGCTCGATAGCTGCTACAAGCCTTGGCAGTTGTTTTATGCGACTCATCGATACGCCTCCCCTGGCAGTTCCGGCTTGCTTAAGCTAGTGACAGCTTCAAAGCTCCCCCCCCCCCCACCATCGCCATGGCAGTGAAGGGCCATTCGCTGCGCGATCGCCAGATCTGTACGTCGCATGGCCTTTGATCACTATATTCCGTACGGACGTGTATCTAACGTGCTTTAAGCTGCCCTGAAGAAGCTCCTTAGTCTGAACGACTCCTTCACCGAAAGCGACACCGATGACGCCCAAGCCAATGGTGGCGGCGTACTGGGGCCGGCCGGCGCAATTATAACTTCAGATGGCGACCCTCTCTGGAAAGTTCTTGTCTTCGACGACCTTGGCCGAGATGTCATCAGCAGTGTTCTACGTGTTAGCGATCTGCGGGCGTTGGGTATCACTATGCATATGTACGGCTAGTTATCCCCCAGGTCCAGCAATCTACTAACACACGAACAGGCATATTGGATCCTCCAGACATGCGATCCCAGACGTGCCGGTCATCTACCTAGTCGAACCGATCGCACAGAATCTTCAACACATTACCAGCGATCTCCAAAAGGGACTCTACACCCCCGCTTACCTGAACTTCCTTTCCTCCATCCCTCGACCACTGCTCGAAGACTTCGCAGAGCAGACGATAGCCGCAGGCACATCAGACAGCATTGCCAGGCTTATGGACCAGTACTTGAACTTCATCGTCGCGGAGCCGGATCTGTTCAACCTAGGGATGCAACGAGATCATACATATTGGGCGCTGAACAGCGCGACAACCAATGACGAAGAGTTGGATAGAGTGGTTGACAGGATCGTCAGCGGCTTGTTCAGTGTCATTGCCACCATGGGCGTCATTCCCATCATCCGATGCCCCAAGGGTGCCGCCGCCGAGATGATTTCAGCGAAACTCGACAGAAAGTTACGCGACCACATTCTCAACTCGAAAGAAAACCTGTTCTCCTCCAACGCCCGTCCGGCAGCTTCTGCCGGAACGCCTCAATCCCGCCCTGTGCTTATCATTCTCGACCGCAATGTCGACTTAATACCTATGCTTTCCCATTCCTGGACCTACCAATCGCTGGTCCACGATGTTTTGAATATGAAATTGAACCGAATTACGATAGAAACACCCATAGACGAGAACAACCCCGCCAAAGGGTCCACTAAGAAGGCCTATGACTTGACGGCGAGCGACTTCTTCTGGACCAAGAACGCGGCTGTGCCATTCCCACAAGTAGCGGAGGACATTGACGCCGAGCTGACGAGATACAAGGAGGACGCAGCAGCAGTGACCAAGAAGACTGGAGTGACGGACCTCGAGGATCTGCAGAACGACACAAGCGCTAGCGCGCAACACCTGAAGGCAGCCATCACTCTCCTGCCAGAGCTGCGCGAGCGCAAAGCGGTGCTCGACATGCACATGAACATCTTGGCAGCGCTCTTGACGGGCATCAAGAACCGCCAATTAGACAACTTCTTCCAAATCGAGGAAGGCGTCATGAGGCAAACCAAGGCGCAAATACTGGAGCTCATCAAAGACGGCACCAAGGGTGAAGAACCGGTCGACAAGCTAAGATTATTTGTCATCTGGTACCTTAGCACCGAACAAGAAGTCAGTCGGTCAGAATGGGAGGGATTCGAGAAGGCCTTGACCGAGTGCGGCGCAGACACAACCTCCCTCCCGTACATCCGACAGTGAGTACTCGTGCAGCAAGAAAAAGAACAGTAAAAAGACACATCACTGACAAACATTCTCAGAGTCCGTGCTACGACCAAGATGACCCAGCTCACTACTATCTCCAACCCCAACACGAACCAGGCGGGGTCCTCGGATATATTTGGCCGCTTCTCGTCCATCTCTAACCGCCTTACCGACCGCCTCAAGGAGACGGGGGTTCCCACTGGCCTATCCTCGAACTTCGAGTCCCTCATTGGTGGCATCAAGAACTTTCTTCCCGCCAACCGCGACCTGACCATTACCAAGATAGTCGAGTCCATCATGGACCCCTCCGCTGCCGCGAGCTCCGCCATCGCCAAGACGGAGAACTACCTCTACTTCGACCCCCGCTCCGCCAACGCCCGCGGTACTATGCCGCCGCCGAGTGCCATCCGCGCCGGTACCGGAGGCTCGTTGGCGCCCGGCGGTCTTCCGGGCCAAGGGGCTGGCGGCCAGACCGTGGGCACCGGCGCCAGCTTCGGCCAGCGACGCCAGGGATTCTCCGAGGCCGTCGTGTTTACCGTGGGCGGCGGCAGCATGGACGAGTACGGCAACCTTCAAGAGTGGGTCGAGCGGACGGGCGGCGACCGCGCCAAGCGGCGGGTCGTCTACGGCAGCACGGAGATGCTCAACGCCGAGGAGTTTATCAAACAGGAGCTGGAGAGGCTCGGCAAGGAAGTGGCTTCGTAGCGCGGGTCCGGTGTTCAAGTGCCGGCTTTTGTTGCTGGTTAGGTATGCCAGGTATATCAGTCGCGAACTGGAAAAGGAAGAGAGACGGAGAGTAAATACGATTCCCAATCTAGTTGATGTGCATCGCTCCCGTTTCCCCATGGTTTGACTGTATCGATTCATCATCGTGGCGAAGACCCGTCAACGGTTCGTGTAAGAGCGTTTGAGCCCGTAACATGGTACTCTTCTGCATACAATCAATCCAGTCATGGCCGTCAGT